AAAGGTTAGCCACACACGGAACTCTCCTCCACGGACATTTTATCAAAATTGGCATTTCTACACAGCAACATATTGCCGTTAAACTGCTTGTTATGTACTTAACGCTTAGAAAACCCGATGAAACGAATGAAATACTGATGGAATTCAATGGGTTTAATTTGGTTGCCACTAACTGTTTAATTTCCGCAAACATCAACTGTGGGAAGCCTGACGAGGCCCGTCGACTGTTTGATGAAATGCCTGAAAGAGACGAAGTTTCTTGGACTGCTTTAATTTCAGGCCTCTTAAGGTACGGGAGAGTTGAAGAGGCACTGTGCTACTTCAGGAGAAACCCATTTCAAAATGCCATTTCTTGGACTGCGACGATCAGTGGACTTGTTCAAAATGGACTGAAGATTGAAGCTATGAGGCTCCTCTCTATGATGCTGCAGTCTGGAGTCATGCCTACTAATGTTACTTTCACTTCTGTAATTAGAGCATGTGGAGAGTTGGGGGATTTTGAATTGGGAATGTGTCTGCTTGGTCTGGTTGTCAAGGTTGGTTTTGAGGAAAACTTGGCAGTTTCTAATGCTTTTATTACGTTTTATGTGCGGTTGAGTAGGAGTGATTTGGCTAAAACAACATTCGATAAGATGGAGATAAAAGATGTTGTTTCTTGGACAGCAATTCTTGACATGTACGTTGAACATGGGGACTTGAAGGAAGTTCGAAAAATATTTGACCAAATGCCTGAGAGGAATGAAGTTTCTTGGAGTGCAATGATTTCAAGGTACAACCATGGTGGTTATGTTGAAGAGGCAGCAAATCTCTTCCATCAGATGGTGAACAAAGATGGGTTGAGGCCAAATATTTCATGCTGTGCAGCTGTACTAAGTGCATTGGGAGCCTTGAAAGCCGTACAAGCTGGAAGAACTATTCATTCACTTATTCTTAAACTAGGATATGAAAAGAACACTTTCGTTGGCAGCTCACTGGTAGACTTTTATTGCAAATGTGGACAAACTGAGTTTGGATTTCTAGCTTTTGACTCAATCCTCGAAAAGAACACTGTTTGCTGGAACTCTATGGTTTCTGGCTATAGTTTAAATGGACAATCGATAGAAGCTAGGAAGCTGTTTGATCTAATTCCCCATAAAAACAATGTCTCCTGGAATTCTTTGATGACTGGTTATCTGGAATGCGAAGAATTTGACAAGTTATTTGAGATATTCAATGAAATGATTTTTTCAGGAGAACAACCCAACAAGTCCACTTTCTCCATCTTGTTATCTGCATGTGCTAACCTAGCTTCATCAGAGAAAGGAAAGAACTTACATTGTAAACTTCTAAAACTTGGTTTCCAGCATGATATATTTGTGGCCACGGCGCTTTTGGATATGTATGCAAAATCCGGTAACATTGAAAGCTCTAAGAAGATCTTCATAAACATGCCTAATAAGAACGTGATTTCTTGGACGGCCATGATTCAAGGGCTTGCAGAAAATGGATTTGCAGAGGAATCTCTTGAACTGTTTGAACAATTGGAAGATTCTACACCCTTCTCACCTAACGAGTATATACTCTTAGCAGTTTTATTTGCTTGTTCCCATTGTGGTCTAGTAGATAAAGGCATCTATTATTTCAACTCAATGCAAAAGGTATATAGCATAATCCCGAATCAAAGACACTACACATGTGTTGTGGATATGCTTTCTCGCTCAGGATATCTTACAGAAGCCGAAAAGTTTATCTCAACAATGCCCTTTGAACCTGAGGCTAACATGTGGGCAGCTCTGCTAAGCAGTTGCAAAACCTATGGAAATGGGATTATGGTAGAAATAGTTCCGAACAGATACCTCCAAGAATCTGGGGGATATGTTCTGTTGTCAAATGTCTATGCTTCAGCAGGAAGATGGAGGGACGTTCTGAATACTAGAAAATTAATGCAGGAGAAAGGAGTGAAGAAATGTGGGGGGTTTAGTTGGATAGAGGTTAGAAGTGAACAACATGTATTTTATTCACTGGATGGTTCTCATGCTGAGTCAGCAGAGATTTACAGGGTTCTAGAACTACTCAACTCTGAAATGCAGCTCCTTACAAGAATGCATGAGAGGTAATTTTCAATATGGCTTTCTTGTTACAGCATGACTTTACTTCCATTTACAATCTCATTTCATACATTAACTTACAACATCAGTCTGTTGTGGACCCCTTTTGGGGCCACACTTATAAACGACGCATAAATGGTCCAAAGGCCCAAGAGTCAACAACTGAAAGTGGCTGAAGTTGGGAATAAGGATATAGTTTCCTAATTCTAGTTACTTTCCTAGTTCTAGTATTTTTTTTTCAAACCCTAGTTCTAGTATATTTCCTTATTCTAGTATATTTTTATATGGCTGAACTGGGAAACAAGAATACAGTTTCCTAATTCTTATTAGTCCTGATTCTAGTTTGTTTCTAATTCTTGTTTCCTTTCCTATTTAGAACTCTAAGCAGCCTCTCTATATAAAGAGGTTTTTGTTATGGAATAAAGTACATTTTTGGAGAATTAATTTGTGCGTCTTGACAAGGTCGGGCGCCGATTAATTTAACAAGAATAGCTTCGTTAAATTCTACTGATTCTTTGTCTCTTTCCCGATTAATATCTCGAACACATCCCTGGACTAGGGCTAGCTCTCGCCTCCTTAACAATTTGGTATCAGATTTGGGCACGATGGGCAACGCTCCGGTGACGACAGAAGCGTTGAAGGCCTTACTACAAGGCGTTGATCAACGACAACTTGACGTTGAAGAACAGTTATCCGATATCAAGAACACCGTAACGGACTTGGCCGGACTTCCAGCAGCTTTCGCTGAGATGAGTAAAACTGTGACCAGCCTGTCAAACACTCTCAACCAATTGTTGCAGGATCCGCCATCATCCAGTCTACATGCTGGACGGCCACGGCATACTGATAACCACCAACACGACTTGGACGATGGGATGGTTCCACGGTACTCCAAGTTGGAGTTTCCCCAGTACGATGGATCCAGCGATCCATTAGCGTGGCTGAAGCGGTGCGAGCGGTTCTTCGTCCAGCAGCGCATCCAACTGCAGGCAGAAGTAGGGTTGGCTACTTTTCACATGACTGGTAATGCCCAACTCTGGGCAGACCAGTTAGATCCTGCGGGAGTAAGCCTTAACTGGACAGAGTTCTATATCCGTTGTTCAAAACGATTTGGGCCCCCAAGCAGCTACAACCCGGAGGGTGATCTGGTGAATTTAAAGCAAACGTTTGACTTAGAGTCTTATATTACTAAGTTTCAGTAGTTGCCAAGCCCACAAAAAAAAACCGGCGCTAGCCCTAGTCCAGGGATGTGTTCGAGATATTAATCGGGAAAGAGACAAAGAATCAGTAGAATTTAACGAAGCTATTCTTGTTAAATTAATCGGCGCTCGACCTTGTCAAGACACACAAATTAATTCTCCAAAACCGTACTTTATTCCATAACAAAAACCTCTTTAGATAGAGAGGCTGCTTAGAGTTCTAAATAGGAAAGGAAACAAGAATTAGAAACAAACTAGAATCAGGACTAATAAGAATTAGGAAACTGTATTCTTGTTTCCTAGTTCAGCCATATTAAGTAACTAGAATAAGGAAATATACTAGAATTAGGAAACTATATCCTTATTCCCAACTTCAGCCACTTTCAGTTGTTGACTCTTGGGCCTTTGGACCATTTATGCGTCGTTTATAAGTGTGGCCCCAAAAGGAGTCCACAACACAGTCCTTCACGTCTGAAGAAGTTGAAAGATTGGAGAGTTGTTATGATGCCTGAGAACTGGATATGCATGTGATGCTATACCTCCTCTATGCAGGGGTGTTCCTAAAGATATACTATCCACTTGTTTCGTTGCCCTCACAACAGATAACTTAATTTCGGCATTGCTAAAAAATATGCTCTTACCGGCTTTAGAATTTATGCATTTGTGGGCTATTAATTCATTACAGTAGATTAGTAGCCGCTCCGAGTAGTTGCCTTACAATGTGCCTGATTAAATTAAAAAGGGTCCCTGACATCTACCTCCCTTTTGTCAAATTACTAAATGACTAAAGATTTCTGAATATTTGAATTAATCCCCTTGATTGATCAGATTTTCGGCAAACAACCCTGACAAGGTTATAGAATATATTGTCATACAAAGCTTTCTCTTTTACAAATTCTTGGGACAAGCAATGAGAGAAATTTCGTTTGAAAAAAAAACAGTTTCCGCCAATATCATTACATTCATTTCTCGTTCAGTATTGTTTTGAAAATTTTCTTACTGGTCAAGGGACTTGACTGTAATGTTCATAGATCTCAATGGTCATCTGGTAGTCTGACCAAACTTTTGAGGAAGGTAGATGCTAATTATCCCCTAATTTAATACCTTTTCTAAATTCTAATGCAAAACCTCTTAGAAAGTAGGAGTAACATGGGCAGCTTTTAACTCAACATATGAAATAGGGATTGTTTGGTCTGTGTATTCTTGTAATGGTATTCGATATATAAAAATCAATGTTTTTCTTTCTTCCATTGACGGCATGTACATACTCTGCATTAACTATTAACGCTCTATCCTACATTCCTACCTATCCAGGCCATTCAACGATAAATCTTTTGAAAAAACCATCAAAGGCCGTCAAATGCAGGACTTTGAAACATAACGGTGTTGAAATTCCTCGGAAGAACTCTGCACGCTATAAGATTGGTCTGTGGTGGAAACAGATGAAGACACATCGTGCATTTTAAGTGCATGGGATACCAAATTTTTTATACTCCTCGTTGAGCCGCCCTCCAATAGGGTGGAGTTGATGAAAGGCGGCTGGTGTGGTTCAGGAATTTCATAATCTTCAATCGTTAGCATCTTCACAACCTGAGACATGGATGGTCTTAAAGAAGCTACTGCCTGACAGCATACTAGCCCAACCTGAACTGCTTTTGATGCCTCACTTTCATGAAAATTGCCTCTGAGAGAAGGGTCAATTAATTCAGTGGACCGATCACTTCTGAAAAGCCCCCATACCTATTTCAAAAAACAACAGGCATATATATGAATACATCAAGTCTTCTAGAGCACTGAGCACTGCATATTTGAGCTCGACTTGAACTTATTATGAGCATGGTTGAAATCAGCTCGTTTCAAGCTCAAGTCTTATTGAGCCGAGTCATCCTAATGAGTTTTACCTAGCCGATCCAAGCTTATGAGCCTTACGTATCGTGGTCATCAGCCTGACTCAAGCCTATTTTGAACTTGGCTTCAGCTCGGCTCATTAAGATTATGATCTCAGAACCAAGCTCAAATTCGTGCGCGTGCTTCATTGCGCAGATCTAAGCTTACTAGTCTTATCGAGCCGGGCTGAGGTTACGAGCCACATGTAAGCGAACAATATCTATTCCACAATTACAAACCAAACCTAGTTTTCAAGCCATTTACCCCAGCATGTATATGAGTGGAGTTTTAATCCGAGCTCTACCTGCTTTCGCAAATAAATAAACCGAGCTCGAGCCTTATTGAGCTGAGACAATCTCAGCCCAAGCTGAGATGGTTTCTTATAACAGCATAGCATGCTATGCATAGAAAATTGTTCCCAGACTAGGATAGAAATATCAAATATGGAACATACTGTTTGCAGTAGGGAGCCAGATTCTTCTACGAAGGCATTGCTCTTTCTACCAGAGATTATCTCAAGAATAAGCACACCAAAGCTATAGACATCAGCCTTCTCTGTGAGTTGTCCTTTAACAAGGTATTCTGGAGCCATATACCCCCTGCATCATTAAATGAGCTGTTTTTACAGGAAAATGCTTTAAATGTTGTTTGATGGTTTCATATTGTGTTTTTATCTTACCGTGTGCCGGCAATGCCTGTGCTCAGATGTGTTTTATCGGTTGCAAAACAACGTGCCAGACCAAAATCGGCAATTTTAGGACAAACATTTTCGTCTAGAAGGATATTGCTGGTCTTGATGTCCCTGTGGATTATTCTGATTGTCATCCCTTCATGGAGAAAGGCTATACCTTCTGCTGCCCCTACCACAATGTTAAACCGCTCTCTCCATGTTAGAATCTTGTCCTTGTTATTATCTGCAAATCATAATAATAACAATGATAGTATTAGAATTACAACAACAATAATAAAGAAAAGTGAAACAATAACACATTGAGTAAATTACCACTGCAGAAAGGGTAAATTTCTTTTTTAGTCTCAGCCATTTTTGGGGCTGTTTGGGACGACTTAGCATAAGTGTTTTATCATATGTGGGTTCTCATTTAAACACATTATTAAAAAAGAACCAATCTGCTCCTGTTTTGTCAATTAAGCACTACAAGTGGTTTTTTAAACTATTAAAAGCATTATGTCCATTTTCCTGTCAAACACTTCTTTCTGAATGAAAGTATTTTTCTTCATCTAAAAAAGACCCAATCCCCTAAAAAGTAATCACAAACGCTCTCTTAGTCCCTTGGTATTTTTATTACAAATATGATTCTTTAATTTACTCTTTTGTTATAGTTTTAGTCCATCTTCCTGTCAGACATCACAATGGAAACTGAACTCTGAGAGACTTAAGTGCTAGAGTGCCACCAGGGTGTATAGTAACATAGGGACTGCTTATGAAAAACTGCATAACTGAGGGACCAAAAAAGTAATCACCCTTTCAAAATTCATATGATAGAGAAGAAAAAAACTAGAACTAGAGTAAGTACCAAAAAGGTAATGGTCAAGGCTGTTGTTAGGTACAAACTCGTAAACTAGAAGGCTCTCGGGACCTTCAATGCTGCAGCCTAAAAGCTTGACAAGATTTTTGTGCTCAATTCCACTTATAAGGTTCACCTCATTGAAGAACTCATCAACCCACTGCCTTGTATTGAAAAACAACCTCTTCACTGCCACAACTCGCCCATCACCCAGTGTTCCTTTGTACACAGAACCAGCCCCTCCTTGCCCAAGTTTTGTATGAGCATCAAAGTAGTTTGTAGCCTTCTCCAGAGTTTCGTATTTGAAGTTCAGATTGGATCTGTTGTAAGTGATTGATATTGCACCAAGATTCCTTTGTTCTGAATTGCAGTCAAGGACATTGTAAGTGTTTGGGTATCAAATGATATATATTTTGATTTCGGGCTTAAATATATTTTTTGTCTATGCAAGTATAATATTGTTCATTTTAGGTTTCAGTAAAATTATTTTTTCTTACATCCATCTCTAAAAACAAAACTAGTGTACCTCACACATATCCCCAGTCTCAATTTTAGATGTAATTTTTCAAAGGCCTCGATACGATGTTTGTTTATTCGAGTATAATGCGGAAACATTTTCAATGTACTCTTCACGAAAGATACTACTTTATTTACATTGACAAAATACATATTGAAACCTTTTAAAAATAATATGAAAAACACATCACTTAAAAATCCGATTTTGATGGTGAGGGCTAAAAAATATAATGTTTATATTCTTAAAGGACACTATTGTTATGGCCACCGCGATATCTTCTTATTTTACTCATACAGTTGACATTATTTCCATGAATCTAACATAACAATACTTGGCAACGGATGAAAATGTATTGAAGCATTTTTCTAGATTTTTTCTGTTCATATTAATTTAGGTTTTCAATGATACATAAACATATCGTACCTTCTTTTCGCTTCAAAGTCTTCTTACGACATCCATAGCCAGCAAATGCAACAACCATAATAAATGCCATTAGACTCGAAGCAATCGCCACTTTTACGCCTTTTTTTGATACCGCTGAAGGCAGCAAAATTTATATATAATATATATAATCATTGCTTTCAAGGATAAACAATTGGTTAACTACAAATTTAATTGGTTAGTAGTATTCTGATATTGACATCAGAAATTTTTTAATTTCTGATTAAAAAAGATACTACTATAGTTTGTGAGAAAAGATACTAAGATTATCAGAATTTGAGATTAGCTTTTGACACTTTCCTCTACTTCTTGAAATGCTTTGGTACCTTTGTAAGTTTCTTGACACCTTTTCTGATTTTCTCAGGATTGAAGAAATTTTTTGCTACTCCCATACTGATGAACATTAATAATGGGGATGTAAAAATATAAAAAAAGTTTAATGGAAATTCTGAACATTGGACCGCCACATATGCGGCAAGTCAGCGGGTGACCTGCTGACATGACAAGTAACTTACAAATAGACTCAATTAAACGTTTTTACAAAGTTCGGGATTTGATTGATTTTTTTAAAAGACGATGATCTAATTGGCTTTTTCGTGATAGAACGAGGACCAAATTGACAATTTTCCCAACTATTTAACATAAAACCTTAATCCTCTGGTACTTTCTTCTAAAAAATTATATTTAATAAAATAACTTACGTAATACTACGTACATGTTATGACTTACTCCCTCCGTCCCGCTAAGATTGTTCCATTTTACCTTTTCGGGAAATCCCACTAAGATTGTCACATACCAAATTTGGTAAAGTTTGTGTGGCTCTAAATCATTTTTACTTTATTCTTACTTTATCAATTTAATATCAACCACACAAATCCACTTTTCTTAATAATCGTGACACATTCTCTTGTCACAATCTTAGTGGGATGGAGGTAGTATCACTTATGGCTAGCAAGTTCAGGTCTCAAGTAGTTTGACCAATTCAGAAAGAAGCCAAACACAAAGCTATGGTAGGTATTGCAATAAACCAAAATCGTACTTATTTAACTTGCGATGACCATTTAGTAAACACTTAAATTGTAAACAGATTCTCCTCAAATGCATATGAAGTTACATTTTTTACTTGACCATATTGATTTTTTTTAACTTGACCATATTGAAACAATTATATGTAGTTAAACTACCGAAAATTTTAAGAAGCACGTAACATTCTCCTTACGAGCACGTAATAAACCTTGCACCAGGATGCGTTCAAAATTAATTGGGTTTTGAGACCATACTATTATTATGCCGATGCTATAGTTTATTTGGTGTTTAATCTTGTAAAATATACTACGTATTGGAAATGTCAAAAAACGAATATTTTTGTAAGATTAAAATTAATCATGTTGGGATATTGACCTAGAGGCCCAATACCCAGATCGGGAAGGCCCAAGGTATCCGGCCCAAGTAACAGGCCCATCACTCCATGATGAAAAGATCCAGTAAGGAGACATACCGAACGGGGTTCGGCCCAAATAAAGGTTGGCCCAATAAGAAGACATACCGAACGAGGTTCGGGCTATATATCATACCTGGGCCAATTTGACAGCATCTTCAGTACGGACCAACATCCCGTTCGAGCAACGGCCAACCAGCAAGTGGCCAGGTGCAGTTAATGCCAGACTATGACATCAGCAAGTGGAAGCATGGATGGCCAAGTCGGTGGAACAACGGCCAATCAGCAAGAGGCAGCCCATGCTCTCCATTAGTATAAATAGAAGGTTTCAAGTCATTGTAAGGGTTAGATTTTCGATACTCAAGCTCTAGAATAGCATCATTTGCTCTTATTTCTTGTATTAAAGCATAGTTTCCGACTTACTGATCGGGAAATCCTTTGTAATCAGATTGGTTAATTAATACAAGTGAGTTTTCGAGTTTTAGTTAATTCAGATCTTATATTTTCTTATACACTTTGATTCTGGGCCATTCCTGATATATCCAAAGTTCGTGTTGGGCTTTCGGATCTACGGGACTTACCCTCAACATTGGCGCCGTCTGTGGGAAAAAAGTCCAGTTTATTCTTCGGCGTTACTAGCCGGAATATACAAGAACAAATATACAAGAAATAAGACAACAGATAAGGAAAGGCTACACTAATGGATGATCGCCGTTCGGGGAGGACGTAGGCTGAGAGCTCCCTGCCTGCACTGCATCGTCAGACGCTGCTTTGGATCTTTTTTCCATGACGCGATCGTACGTATTCCCGAACAGATCATCGAAGCCTAGTTCATCAGGATCGAACGGCTTGGGGAAACGCTCTAAGATCAGTTCAAGATTCCTATCCAGAAGCAGGTCCTGACTTTGCTTTACGGTTTTCTCGGTCAGGACATCCAAGAAAGATTTCCATTCCGGCGTGCTGTCCAGGAGGTCGATCCCTGCCTTGATGGGATCTGAGCTCTCACGCAAAAATTGGCCAAGGTGAGGACCTAGGAATTGTCGGGCCGTATTCTCCAGAGCGAGGTTCAGCGCCTTGCCCCGTTGGAAATCCACTACCGATTGCTGAGCAATCTGAGAGGTATTGACCGTGTAGGGTTCGGGCAGATGATCTCCGACAGCCTTATCAAATTTAATGCCAGCAGATTCAGCAGCCCGCACCTTGGCCCGGAGTTCTTTGAGCTCCCGGTCGCGACGACGGGACGTCTCCTGCATCTCGGCCAGGGCAGCTTTTGCCTTCTCACCCTCTTTGGCCTGCTCCTGGAGGTCGGTCGCTAACTTCCGAGCGGCGGAAAGAAGGACTTGGCCGTCATCCCGATCACTGGCCAGGGCTTTCATCTCCTTCTCAGCAGCAAGAAAGGCTTTGTGATAGTACACGCCAGCCTGAAAACAAGGTTACAATGAAAGTCAGAAAAGGTAAAGCATGAGTAATAGAAAGGTATGGGTCGGACTGAAATGTACCTTGAGTGCTTCCTGGTGACCTGCTTCGAAAAGGTCCGACCAGTGAGTCAAGTTAGTGAAGCTCGGGGGAACTTTGATCGCAGTATGACACCACATAGAAGATGGCATCAACCCGAACAGATACCTCCCTTCCGATCTGGGCCCCATATTTGAGAACTCAACAAACATCCGATCATCGATCGGTGTGGCAGTAAGAACCGGAGTTTGTTTGTTGGCAGGCACTGATCTTTTGGGCTCAACCTCCGGCCCGGTCAAGTCAACCACATGGTCGATCGGGATCAGGTGATCGCCATCATTTCCTTTGCGCTTTTTGCGGGTTTGCTCCGCCGAATCACGATCGGCTATCATCTTCTCTTTCCCTTTAGCAGAGGAGATAGAACGCCGGACGGGTATGGGAGAGATCACACCTACAAGAAAGAGATAAAAAATAAGAAAGTTGAATTGTGAGAGCGAAGGATGATCGGGTTAAAACCCTACTATGCTTACCAATTCCAGCAGATAACATGCTCGAGGCAGTGACAAAGCTGCGAAGACTTCTGGTCCCTCCCATTCGCAGAGACTCAGCCTGGGAGCGTAGAACGGCATCCACCCTGGGCAGGGAATCCCGAACGGGATATGCGTTCCACCGGTCCGGGAATGGCAAAGAATCACCTACCCGAACGAACAAAAATCGCTCTTCCCAGTCAGCCTGCGGGGTAACGTTCTCTGTGAACAGCTGACGGTCAGAACGGGCTACCAGCTTCAAGTACCCGGTCGTCCAGTAGGGCTGATAGCAGTAATGATAAAGGAACAGATCGACGCTCGGGGTGATCCTCAACTCGTGGCACCGGATAATGATGCCTGTCAGAATACGGTAGGTGCTGGGCACGAACTGAGCGGGCAGTACAGCAACCCGACGTAAGAACTCCACTATGAATGAGTGGAGAGGGAACCGAAGTCCAGCAGTCAGAGCATCGAGGTGCACTAGCACGTGCCCCGGTCTGTGCCTCATAGGGTGCCGAATGAATCCGGCATAGTATTCTCTTGGTGGGGGCAACAACTGGCTAAGTTGCCGTTCAACATCTTCTGGGAGACGTTGTTTGTGTTTGCGTATGCGATTGAAATGTAGGGGAATGCGGGGTGGCCGCTCGGGCATCCCCTTGTTGTAAACCTGGAGGTCATCTCCCGACAGACATCCATCCTCCTGCGGCTGTTCGGTATGTTTGCTGACCTGAGTATTGGCGGGTTTGGGTGTTTGGGACGAAGAGCCTTCGGCCTGGTTACCAGCGGATGTTTTGCTTTTGCGGATCAAAGGCATCTCTTCAGATTCTGAGCTAGAGGAGTAGTACATAAAAACGCTGGAGGAAATTTGGGAATTCTAGAGAGAGAAGGCTTGAGAGTATGCAAAGGAATAAGTTAGGAAATTGCTAAGTCCTACAGAACAGGCCGAATCCCGAATGACGAGTACATCATGCATTAAAAACAGAAAAGACAGCACAGAAAGTTTCAGACAAAAGAGGGATATATATTCGTCGGTTCTACTGACCGGGAAGTACAAGCTATTTAGAGAAAAAGAAAATTACAACAAGTAATGAAAAAGTACATATGAATTATTGACTGGGGGCCATGTCATCTCCCTCTTCATCCTCATCCTCATCATCATCAGATGGGGGTTCAGGCTCTTTTCCCGCAGCTCGATCAGCTTCCCGTTGCTGGGCTCACAGATATTTCTCGAACTGCGCCTGGATGATGTCATCTGTGGGGAGATCAGAGGCCTGAACCGGTCTCCCAGTTGATTTTGAAGCTGAGTGATGAAGGGACGCAGCAAGACCTGGCCAATTTTGCCATAAAGATCGGAGACAATGGAGTCGTTCCATTTCTTGGCCTCCGGGTCCTTATCCAAGAGGGCCACCCCAGCCGATAGCCGACCGGCGCCTTTGGGGAAATCCTTCAAATACGCCCCAAAGGTGAACGGGATTTGGGCCCTTGCATGTTCATCCTTGATGACGGAGAATTCATCGGAGGATTTAAACATGTCCCGGACGGCGGACAGATCCACGTTCACTTCATAAGGACCGTCCGGGATACTGGATGGCAGTTCTTCGAATCTGACCCGTGCGGCCTCAGCGCCAAGGATCTTCGCCTGGGAAGCTGCGAGTTGGACCCGAAGGGTACCGACT